TTAACTATGTGGTAAAAGGTTAATAGCCGAATTTTGCTGACTTATTGCATGTGTGTGCGTGTGATTTATGTGGAATTCTAAGCCTAGTTGGTTTTGAATTTTAGAGTCATAGTATAGCCGAAATTGTGAAGCTAAAAATTAGGGTTTCCTAGTCCTAGTTGAACTTGAATTTTGGTTGTCTATTTGTGTTACACTTGAAGACCTCTTCGGTCTTGTATTAGTGTGTTCACATGGCCGAAAATTTTATCCCTAAAATTAAGGTCATTGAGTCCAAATTGTGTTATGATTTGAGTCCTATTCGGTTTTGGATTTTTGTGTTCATATTGGCCGAAAATTTACAGCCATTATTTCCTAATTGTAATACAATTTTATTGTGTGTTTTATTTGAGTCCTACTTGGATTTAAATACTAATTTTTGCATGTGTTAAATTATAATTTCATTGAGATTATAATTAGAGTTTTAAAGTGAGTCTATTTTCGAAAACTATTGGGATAAGGAAGCCTTATCCTAATCTGAAATTTTTTGAGTCTTCTAATACAATTGTGCATGTGTGTGGCCGTGTATTTGAGTCCTAATAGTAGTAGGGGGGTCAAAATTTTTATCTCTAATTAGTAGGGATGAATTTTCATAAGTTGTATCCAAAAAGGATTATGTTTACCTAAGTTTTAGGACTCTATCCTTTTCTATATATATGTGGCCGATTTTTCTTCTTCTCTATTCCATCTTGTCGATCATATTTCATCCATTAAAAGGGGGGAATATTTTTTAGAAAATTTAGGTCCTATCTTGTAGGAGTTTTCTTGCACAAAAAGACTTGCATTGCCTATAAATAGGGGTGCTGTTTTTTGAAAATTCTCACACCACTCTACTCCATTCTTCTTCTTCTTCTTGCTGCTGAGATCACAAGGGTAAATTAAGAGAAGCACTCTTCTCTTTATTCTGAATTTTTGAGAGTTAGTGTTCTTAAAAGCACAAGAGAGTTTTTGTTTTTGGGGAGAGCATATACGAACCATCCTTTGGTTCTTGGGAGGGTGGGGGGTTTCGGCCGAAACTACATTGGTTCTAGGGTTCAAGGAGTTTTTGTGTAGTCACAAAGGCACATTACTTTTGTGTTGGTGGTTTCTCAAAGTTGTTGAGCAAAGATGTCATCCAGAGTTGCTGGTTGTACTCAAGTTGCTTCAAAGAGTGTAAAGGGTTGCATGGAGGCTCAAGTGCAGCTCATGAATAGTCAAATTGACTTCTTGCATGATGCTTTGGATGAGGTGAAAGAGGCAAACCGAGACTTGTCTCAATTGCTTTCAAATCAGCAAGATAAAGCTATGATCGTTTCCACTATGGCTTGGACAAGGGGTTCAAACAACACCCAAAGATAAGGAGGCAATCAAGGCTCTATGAGGCATATTACGCTGCCTTCGAAGTGGAGAGAGAGCATGATACTTCTTGTGGCTGGAATGGTCTAATTGAGGATCAAGGGTTGGTGTTTGGAGCTGAAGATGGTGATCAACGGACATGTATCTTCCGTACTAAGTGTTCGGTTGGGTGGTCCAATGAAGTTGATTTGGTAATCGATGGTGGATCGAGTACTGATTGCATAAGTGAGGAATTTTGCATAGCAAACGGAATCAAGATGGATCCGCATACTAGACCATACAAGCTTCAATGGTTGAGTGAAGAGATGGTTGTGGATGTCACTAAGAAGGCCATGGTATCTTTTCAAGTTGGTGAATATAGAGATGAAATTTACTTTGATGTAATTCCTATGTCTTTTTGTGATGTTTTGCTAGGTAGGCCTTGGCAATCAGATGTAGATGCTGTGCATTGCTCGAAGAATATCTTTGTCTTTACTAAAGAGGGCAGAAAGTATATTCTTAAGCCTTTGGCTTATGAAGAAGCTGAACCTGTGCGAGAGAAAAGACGTAAGATAACCTATACACAAGGGAGAGAAAAAGTTGAGAGAGTGACGCAAGAGAGTAAAAAAGGCCACGCTGAGGTAAGAATTGAGGTGAGAGAAAACCATGAAAATAGCGTGGAAACAGAAAAAAATGCACGCAATGAGAGAAAATCAGAGTGTGGTGAGGGTGAGGATTTTACTAAACCTTATTCTTATTAATAGGATTAAAGGATGCCTTCGGTTTTTCCTTTTATCTTATTTATTTTTTTTCTAAATAAAAAAAATTTATAAGTAGTGCTAAGGTGGAGTGCACAGCCAAGCATGACACATCAGGTGAGTTAGACTATTGAGTTATTTGAGTGAGCCATTTATCATTACTCATTAAGAAAAGAGTAATGATAGAAAACTCACTCAAATAACTCACTATTCTAACTCACCTGATGTGTCATGCTAGGCTGTGCACTCCACCTCAACACTACTTATTAATTTTTTTAATTAGAAAAAAATAAATAGGAATAGAGGAAAAATCAAAGGCGTGTTTCCCCTTCCCTTAATCCTATTAAGAAAGCTGGTCCATTTTTTGCGATTCTGATTGTCTCCTTCCATCTCTCTGATTTCGAACGCCGATCAAATTCGTCCTGTTTCCTGGTCTCCATCTCTCTTCTTAATCCATCATGAATAGACCATTAATGTTAATGGTGCAACAACAGACTCAACTAATGGACCTCAGTCAACTTCAAAACAACACCACCTGACAAAGGAAAGCTGTCTCTATTGGCCTCTGCTTAACTTTCAGAGGAAACCACCACCACCAACAACATCAATGTTTACATCATCAACTGCAACATTCTTTTACAATTTCCCCTCAATCCTTTGCTCAAATATCCATCTTACTGTCTATTTTGTTAGATGATTTAGCATCCCATATTAAGCAACAACGTGATGAAGTCGAACATTTCCTCCTAGCCTAGGTTATTCATCCATCCATTTATTTATTATCATTTGATTTCTTCTTCTTTGGTGAATATAGTTTGTAAATTAGAAGGGGAAAAAATTGATTTTCTAATTTTTGTCTAGACAAAACAACTCCCTCGGACATTAGCGGAGAAGAGACAGAGGCATTACTGGTCACTATTAAGTGCGGCGGAGGAATCAGTGGCTCGGAGGCCAAGAGAAAAGGAAGCAAAATTGGAGAAAACTTCAAGGAGGAACACAAAGTTAGAAGCAAAAGCGCCCCAACTGAGTATGGAATCTCATGCGTGGCGACATAGGGCAAAAATGCAATAGCATATGACGGCGAATTTCCAGGGTCAGCTTGAACGAGCTATTACATCAACCGGTGGTGCTGCCGGAAATGGATACAATAACAATCATGAGGACGAATTCGATCGGCGTTCAAAATTCGAGAGATGGAAGGAGACGATCAGAATCGCGAAAATTAATAAGGTTGAAGAATGCCTTCGGTTTTTTCTTTTATCCCTATTTAGTTTTTTTAAATAAAAAAAATTAATAAGTCGTGCTAAGGTGGAGTGCACAACTGAGCATGACACATCAGGTGAGTTAGAATAGTGAGTTATTTATCAGAGTATGATAAATGGCTCACTCAAAAAACTCACTATTCTAACTCACCTGATGTGTCATGCCAGGCTGTGCACTCCACCTCAGCACTACTTATTAATTTTTTATTTAGAAAAAATTAAATAGGAATAGAGGAAAAATCAAAGGCGTGTTTCCCCTTTCTTTAATCCTATTAAGAAAGCTGGTCCATTTTTTGAGATTCTGATTGTCTCCTTCCATCTCCCGGATTTTGAACGCAGATCAAATGTCCTGTTTCCTAGTCTCCATCTCTCATCTTAATCTATCATGAATAGACCATTAATGTCAATGGCGCCAGCACAGACTCAACTAATGGACCTCGCTCAACTTCAAAACAACACCACCCCATAAAGGAAAGCTGTATCTATTGGCCTCTACTTAACTTTCAGAGAAAACCACCACCATCAACAACATCAATCTTTACATCATCAACCGCAACATTCTTTTACAATTTCCCCTCAATCCTCTGCTCAAATATCCGTCTTACAGTCTATTTTGTCAGATGATTTAGCATCCCATATTAAGCAACAACGTGATGAAGTCGAACATTTCCTCCTAGCCTAGGTTATTCATCCATCCATTTATTAATTATCTTTTGATTTCTTCTTCTTTGGTGAATATAATTTGTAAATTAAAAGGGGAAAAAATGATTTTCTTATTTTTGTCTTGAAAAAACAACTCCCTCGGACATTAGCAGAGAAGAGACAGAGGCATTACTGGTCATTATGAAGTGCGGCGGAGAAATCGGTGGCTTGGAGGCTAAGAGAAAAGGAAGCAGAAGTGGAGAAAGCTTCAAGGAGAAATACAAAGTTAGAAGCAAAAGCGCCCCAACGGAGTATGGAATCTCATGCGTGGCGACACAGGGCAAAGATGCAAGAGCATATGGCGGCGAATTTACAGGGTCATCTTGAACGAGCTATTACATCAACCGGCGGTGCCGCCGGAAATGGATACAAAAACAATAATGAGGTCAAATTCGATCGGCGTTCAAAATCCGAGAGATGGAAGGAGACGATCAGAATCGCGAAAAATTAACAGGGTTCAAGGATGCCTTCGGTTTTTCCTTTTATTCCTATTTATTTTTTTTCTAAACAAAAAAAAATTAATAAGAAGTGCTAAGGTAGAGTGCACAGCCGAGCATGACACATCAGGTGAGTTCGAATATTGAGTTACTTAAGTGAGTCATTTATCATTACTCATTAAGAAAAGAGTAATGATAGATGACTCACTCAAATAACTTACTATTCTAACTCGCCTGATGTGTCATGCCAGGCTATGCACTCCACCTCAGCACTATTCATTAAATTTTTTATTTAAAAAAAATAAATAGGAATAGAGGAAAAATCAAAGGCGTGTTTCCCCTTCCCTTAATCCTATTAAGAAAGCTGGTCCATTTTTTGCGATTCTGATCGTCTCCTTCCATCTCTCGGATTTCAAACGCTGATCATATTCGTCCTGTTTCCTGGTCTCCATCTCTCTTCTTAATCCATCATGAATAGACCATTAATGTCAATGGCGCCACAACAAACTCAACTAATGGACCTCGCTCAACTTCAAAAGTACAACACCCCACAAAGGAAAGCTGTCTCTATTGGCCTCTGCTTAACTTTCAGAGAAAACCACCACCAACAACAACATCAATCTTTACATCATCAACCGCAATATTCTTTTACAATTTCCCCTCAATCCTCTGCTCAAATATCCGTCTTACAGTCTATTTTGTCAGATGATTTAGCATCCCATATTAAGCAATACCGTGATGAAGTCGAACATTTCCTCCTAGTCTAGGTTATTCATCCATCCATTTATTCATTATCTTTTGATTTCTTCTTCTTTGGTGAATATAATTTGTAAATTAAAAGGGGAAAAAACCTGATTGTCTTATTTTTGTCTAGAAAAAACAACTCCCTCAGACATTAGCGGAGAAGAGACAGAGGCATTACCGGTCACTATTAAGTGCGGCGGAGGAATCGGTGACTCGGAGGCTAAGAGAAAAGGAAGCAGAAGTGGAGAAAGCTTCAAGGAGGAATAAAGAGTTAGAAGCAAAAGCACCCCAACTGAGTATGGAATCTCATGCGTGGCGACACAGGGCAAAGATGCAAGAGCATATGACGGCGAATTTCCAGGGTCAGCTTGAACGAGCAATTACATCAAGACCACCCACAAAGGAAAGCTGTCTCTATTGGCCTCTGCTTAACTTTCAGAGAAAACCACCACCAACAACAACATCAATCTTTACATCATCAACCGCAAAATTCTTTTTTAAATTCCCTTCAATCCTCTGCTCAAACATCCGTCTTACTGTCTATTCCGTCTGATGATTTGGCATCCCATATTAAGCAAATCCAATTTTAGGCTTATGTCAGATTTATCACTTTCGTTGTACCGTTGGTTAATTTAATCCTCTGTAATGCAAATATGTACCATTTAAAAGAAAGTCGGAATTAGCAAATCCTCTGTATTGGATTTTCTTTTTTTTTCCCTCCTGCAATTTCAGAAACTAATATTAATATTAATATTTTATTAAGTCGGATTGGAGAAATCTGAGTTAGAGTAAATCGGATTTCTCAAATCCGAGATAAGTATTTTTTTGTAATAAAATAAATAAACAAATAATAATCTCCCCTCCTGTCCCAAAACATTTCTTTGGGTCAGCCACCCAAAAAATTATTCTATACAGCAAGTGTATCCCCTTTTTTAGTGTAGCAACACACTCATTATACTGGAAAATATCATGGCCCCCCTAATTTTGTGGTAACTTTCCCGGTAAAATTGCAATCTTGCCATATTCATGTGTTTGGCTGCACAATCCTACGTGGTATAACAGCTGTATGGAAGATTTTCTCCAGGCACCCGGCAAAAATACACTTGAACGAATGAACCTGAATTGCTTTTTGTAGTTATAAAAATTGCCCATCTACAGTCGTTATGACAATTTTGCCCTCTTCCTCCTAATCTCCTCCTTTCTCTGTCTTTTTCTTCCAATTCTTCTTCTTTTCACATTCTAACCAAAAACCCATCTTTCAAATTTAGATCTACAAAGATTTGGAAGTTAAAAAGATGGCAAATCGTAGAAAACAACCTCGGGGAAGCTCGCCATCTGCACCGGTATGTTTTTTTTTTCATCAAAGCTCAGGATATTTAAAAAAAGAAAAAGAAAAAAATTTTGATGGGGAGTAGCCAGTCTCGGTTCGGCTACCTCCCCCCCGGTAGTCGGTTCTATGGTGGTAACTCACTTGTGCTTTGCGGATGACTTCATAATTTTCACAAAAGGCCTTCTTAGGTCCTTAAGGGAAATTAACTTGTTTTTTTTGGAAAATATGAGCTGGCTACGGGGCAAAAGCTTAGTATAGACAAGAGTATCTTTGTAGCTTCGGAGAAATGTAATCCTAGGAGAGTGGAAATGATAAAGAGGACCTTGGGTATGTCTAAAGGTAATTTTCCTTTCACTTATTTGGGCTGTAAATTGTTTCATGGAAGGAAGAAAGCTTCTACATTCTAGTTTCTTTTGGATGCGATGGATATGAAACTTCTAAGTTGAAAGAATAAGTTGCTGTCTCCTGGAGGTCGGCTAATGTTAATCCGGCATATTTTAAGCTCTATGCCGATTCATGTCTTCTCAGCCATTCCGCCTCCAAAATTGATTGTTAACGAATTGGAAAGAAGGTGTCAAAATTTTCTTTGGGAAGGTGGTAGTGATATCAAAAAGCGGCATTGAAGAGCTTGGGGAAGAGTTACCTTTCCGGTCCATGAAAATAGCCTTGGATTGTAGAGTTTTCATGATATCATCTCAACTCTCACTGCCAAGTTATGGTGGAAGTTAAAACATAAAATGGGGATTCAGAGCTCTTTCTTGCTATTCTTGTCTAAGGCGGCAAAGGAAAAAACATCTTGGTCTAGGGTAATGCAAATTGATGAAAAGGCAGCCACTCTCTCTAAGATCATCGTGTGAGGAGGTGATAGATCTTTTTGGTTTGACAATTTGGGGGAACATGGAGCACTTTGGAACTCATCACTCGGCCAGCCACCAAGACCGAATCTTACAATTCGGGAGTTTTTCCAAAACTAAAACTCATTTTTGGCTGAATTTCATCATTTCCTTGATCCTTTGATTCTTACTTCTTTGGAGAATTTGGAGTTTAATTTCTTGGCTGAAGCGGATGTGTTGGTGTCGAAAAATTCTTCTAATGGCCAATTTTCGGTAAAACTTATTTATGAAACCCTTCTTTGTAAGCAAGTTGTTGATCCAATGTTGAAAAATATATGGTACCGAAGTCTACCATCTCGGATTTCTTTCTTTTTGTGGAGGCTACGTAATGGTTTGCTTCCCTTCCCTGATGTCCTATGTAGGTATAAATCCCTTAAACTTTCTCCTCCCCTCATCTTTTTCCAAGCATTTTTTTTCAGAACTAATTAATTAATCGGCTCTTTATGATGATATCTCGTTTGCTATAGCTGTAAAAGGTATCTTGAATCTTTCATGCACTAACTCATAGAAAAAATGAAAAATTGAATTATGCCTTTAAAGGATTAAGTGGAATTGTGAAAATCCTTCAAACATTATATAGGACCAAAAAGTTTTATTCTAGGTCAATTATCTGATTGATTTCCAGAAACGTACAGTGGAGAGAGATCACATATTTGAGCTTACAATTAAGACTGAAAAATCTTCTTTTCCTAATAACTAATCTAAAGGTAGTATTGCCTAATTTTTTTTTTGACAAACAAATAAAAGAATTTTATTATTAAGAAGAAGAAGAGACTTATTACATTCCGTTGACTTATTATGCACTAGACGTAATCTTTCTCGGCTAACTTTACACATGCCATAATCTCTATATATGGATTTATAATAGAGTATGTCAGCAACAGTGTCTCGAACTTCTATTGGAGCTCTTGCAGGATTGTGAAGGAGTTGGATTATGCAGAGGGAGTCCGTGCCTAGATTTTCCACAGTGACCCCCTGTTGTGCAACATGTTTAATCACTGCTAAGCAAGTGAACGCTTCTGCATGAATTGCAGAAATTGCTTGAAATATTATCGTATATATATCTGGAGCAGCCCCGTCCTAGGAAAGAAATGCCTATGCTCCTGCTGCTACTAAAGTTTCTTTGTGGAAAGCTCCATCGAAAATCAGTGTGAGAGGCTCTTCATCAACAGAGTGTGGGGAAGGCAATGCTAGATATAAGTCAGTTGCGGGACGGACACTATTCCAACTCTGTCGAAACGATTGATATTCAAAGTCGCACTACGAATGACTTCTTCAGGGTGGTCACTTGGTGTTCCCAGAATAGTTTATTTCTACTCTTCCAAATATTCCATAAAAGGACTAAAGATTCTTCAAGAAGCTCCTTGTCTGGCGCGTTGTGAGCCAGTGATGGACTATCTCTGGAATTCCTTCCCGAAAATTGAAACCAAAGCGAGATAGAAACCAAACTCATTGGGCCTTTTCACATTCTAAGAAGATGTGTGAGCTAGTCTCTTCATAAGTATTGTAGTTCACACAGAAGGTGGCCACTGGAATTGCCCTTTTTTCGTAATTGATCCGCAGAAGCACATCTTCCACTGAGTAATTTCCACACAAAGTGTTGTATTTTAGCTGGCAGATTTAGGGACCATAATTTCTTCCATAGCTTGTCAGGTAAGACTGTCAATGGGCGTGGATTTGACACTGGTGGAAGGGAATTGTTGGCTAGATTAACAACTTGAATTAAGGGAGACAAAAGCAAAGAAGATATTCGAGAAATTGGGTGGAGGATAATACAATCTTATGGAAACTTAAAAAATAGTTGAGGTATAAAATGTTGACCAAAAATGTAAAAATAATTATGATACCCTTTTTAATAAATATGACCTTTCAAATGCGCTTAATCAAAATTATTCCCTTTTAGTTTAATCATAGTGTTTTTGGGTTGGAGTATAGAAGTGTGACTATTTAGAAGTGTTTAGGGTTTATGTTTGGTTTAGTTGGTGATTATTGTTGTTGTACACGTGGTTTTGAACGATCAATTTAGTCAATTGCTTGAATTTGTCCTAAATTTTTGAATTTGTTGAGGTTTAGGGTATTTTGGTGTTCATTAAATGTATTTTTAATCAAAATTTGTTTTTTTTTTCCCTTTTTTGGGGAGTGTGTTAAGTTATGTCCGAGCCTTGTCCTGCAGGGTAAACGGAAATAACCATAATTTAACATCATCACAAGACAATCCCTGTATCTTCAAAGTGCTAGACAATCGAAGGACTGTCCTAATATGGTCATTTGAATCCTCATTGGCTAATCCCTGGAAAGGACAAGTAGCCTATAACCGTTGAATCATTGTGCTCTTCAGCTCAAAGTTGTTTGCTTGAACATCACAGAAAACCAGAGGAGATTCCACTTCCTCCTCTTGAGGGATGAAATAATCTTTTTTTTTTAAATAGAAAGGTTAGGACGACATTCTGGTTCCAACTGACTCAAAAATACTCAAGGGGTATACTCAAAAGATATGTTCTGAGCCAGCCAGTGCTAGATAGCATAATCTTTGGGTAGCCTCTATGGTAGATTATGGTCTCCATTTTGTTGGTTCTCCCAGTGTATTGTGCCCATCTCGTCATATTTAAACTCTTGCTGCTGATGAAAGCTTTGTGCTCTCTTCAAAGATTAAGCCTTCCTGATTATCGCTTCGATTTCAGGATCAAAGAGTAGAGTACCTGAGGGATTCCTTCTGTTAATCCACCAGCTAAACATAAATTAAAACTAGATCCAAAACTACAAAACAAAATTCAATGAAAAATAAAATCAATAGAAACTGTGAACTAAACAAGTTCAGGGATGTTTTACGCTGTCCTTGACAACAACTCTACTTTTTGGTGACCGAGTATCGTCAAGTCGTCCAAAAAAAAACCAACTTAAAATTAGTTGATAGTTAGTAAGTCAGGTCGAATCCATAGGGAAGGACGTGACTGTCTAAAAACCACATAGAACACAAAAGACCAACCAAAGATAACGGGAAAAGAGTTGTAATGGCCACTCACGCGAGTGTGGTTAGCACTCACGCGAGTGATTATTTTCCTAACTGAACTTTAGCACGAAAACACAAGTAGCAAGAAATAAAGTAAATGTAAGCAAGCAGAGCATGAAAGATAAAAACTTAGGCTAGAAAACAAGAAACTAGACAAAGTAAAAGAGCATGGAGATCCTCCTTCCTTTGTTATGTTACTTCAACAATGATTATGCATCCATGTGGTACGGAGTGTGTTTGATCAGACACTTAATTATCCCTGAATCTCTACCAATGTTCTTGAGGAAGTCCCTCTGGTGAATAACAAGCTCTTTTCCGAG